GTTCAGAAGCTCCAAATGCAAAAAAACTTCCTGAAGGCTGTAAAAATAAAGACCAGAACTCTACCGCAAGCATAGTACCTAGTAGTAAAGTGTTAGAATCATTCCCACCCAAATCAGATACTCCTCAACAGTGCCCTGGAGGGAAGCCTAGCCACTAAGGCAAGCAATTAAAATGGGGCGGGGGGGGGGAATGGAGGGTGGGGAGAGGAAATCCCTATATTGTTTCATTTCCAGAGAGTTTGACTGTCTACCTTAAAAATCCAAGAAAACTGACTGGAAGAAATTTGAACTAATAAAAGTTCAGTAACATGGCTTGAATATGATAGACCTACAAAAAAATAAATAACCTTCTATGCAAGGTTCTTTCAAATTATAAATGAAATGGCAATAAATGATACAATTTTTTAAAGCAATAAAAATTATACCCACAAAACAATCTAGGAATTCACCTAACAAGAATGTCTAAGACCTACATGTAGTATAGACAAAAGGACAGACATACAGATCAATGGAACAGAACAGAGGTCAAAAATAAACCCACACAGGGGCGCCTGGGTGGCTCAGTCAGTTAAGCATCCAACTCTTGATTTTGGCTCAGGTCATGATCTCAGGGTTGTGAGATCTGAGCCCCGTGTCAGGCTGCACTGGGCGTGGAGCCTGCTTAAGACCTCTCTCTCTCTCTCTCTCTCCCTCTACCCCTCTCCAGCATATCCCCATCTCTAAAATAAATACATAAATAATAAACAAACCCACACATACACGGTCAATTAATTTTTGAGAAAGGGGCCAAGGGGATACAAGAAAGGAAATACAGTCTTTTCAACAAATGGTTTTGCAACAACTGGCTATCTATAGGAACAAAAGTGAATCTTGACCCATACAAAAGTTAACCAAAATGAAGCCATAAACCTACATATAAATGACAAAACTATAAAATGTCCAGAAGAAAGCACAGGGAAAAAATCCTGGTAAACATGAGGTAGACAAAGATTTATCAGACAAGTTACTAAAACTGCTATCTATAGAAGGAACAAAACCTGATAAATTAGACCTTATCAAAATTGAGAACTTCTGCTCTTCAAAAAAAATCATTAATTCCACTTTCACGATGTGTAAGTCAAATAAAATAGTCAAACTCATAGAAACAAAGAGTAGAATGGTGGTTGTCAGGGGCTGGGGGAGGGGGAAGTGGGGAGTTGGCGTTCAATGGGCATAAAGCTTCAGTTGTGCACAATGAATCCGTTCTAGAGATCGGCTGTTCAACATGGCGCCTATAGTTAACAGTACTCTACTGTACACTTAAAAATTTAAGAGTGTAGATCTCAAGTGTTCTCACATCACAAAAAGAAAATAAAACGAAAAGGCAAGCCACAGACTAAAAGAAAATATTTGCGATAGATATCTGACCTGTATCCAGATACAGATATACACAGAATTCTCATGATTCAAGAAGACAGACAATACAATTTAGAAAAACAGACATTTCATAAAAGACATACAAATGACCAAAAAGCACATGAAAAGATGCTCAACATCACTAGTCATCAGGGAAGTGCAAACTAAAACCACAAAGAACTGCCATGACAAACCCACTGGAATGGCTAAGATAAAATCAACTGCCAATACCAAGTGCTGACAGCGAGCATGCCTTGCAGCTGGACCTCTCATACATTGCCAGTGGCAGTGCGCTGGGGTGTGGCTGCTTGGGAAAAGTCTGGCCATTTCTTATAAAGTTAAATTTACCATACCATCCACCAGCAAACCTATTTGGAGGTACTTACGTGAGTGGAATCAAAGTGTATGTTCATACAGGAAGCTGTCTGTGAACGTTCACATTGGCCCTATCCATAACCACTGAAAGTCAGTGAATGGATAAACTGTGGAATAATACTCAGCAATAAAAAGGAACAGATGATTGATTCACAGGACACTGAGAAATCTCAAATGCATTATGCGAGGTGAAAGAAGCCAGACTCAGAAGGCTACATCATGCATGAATCCATTCCCAGGGCATTCTGGAAAAGATAAACTTACAGCAACAAAAAACAAATCAATGGTTGCCAGGGGCTGAGAGTGGTGGAGGAGGTTGACTACAAAGGGTCAATAAGGAATTTTCTGGAGTGACAGAATTCTTCTCTATCTTGCTATGGTGCTCATTAGATGACTATATGCATCTGTCAAAATTTATAAAACTATACATAAAGAAGGTGGATGTTATTATACATAAATTATAGCTCAATTTCAAAAACATGGAGTCAACTCAAGAATTAATTAAGTAGATTTACAAAATGGAACAGTGTTCACAGAATCTTATTTGATTGAGAGGATTTATTTCATGGTAACTTTTACCAAATGTTTAGCCCATTTCTTAACTTCTAGTACCCCCACCTCATACCATGTTCCCAGAATAAGTTCCATGTGGATTAAAGACCCACATATTGTAAAAACCATAAACATTTTAAAAGAATTTTTTGCCCTGTCTTGGGGTAGGGAAGGCCTTTCTCAGCAAGGCATCAAAACCAGCTCCTAGGTTTTAACTAAAGGCAGAACCTCATTTCTATCTTCCAAATTATTAACATCACAGAAACACATTCTCTGCCCCCCACTCACCATTTTTTTTTTCTTTTAACGGTTCTCTTCCCAGTTTGTAGTGAGTATTTGAAAGGGACTTGGCACTCTCAGGCAACAAAATGGAAAATGTGTTTGTCAGTTTCTCATGAGCAGTGAAAGCACCAGGAACCTACATAGTGATGTCCCCCTCTGAGACCAAAATCTATATAGTGATGTCCCCCCTCCAAGTCCCAAACCAGACTCAGCCACACCACAACCACACCAGAGTCCCTGGAACGAACACGTAGGCCACCCAAAAGCAGCTTAACTGGCTCCCTAACACCTGAGCAAACTCACTTTGCCATTTCTGGAAGGCTGTTCATGGTACCAAAAACACAGCAGCTCTCCTTTCCCTGCCAAACCTGCCAATGAAATTCCACTTCTCAGACGTTTTCTCCCTCTGCTGAACAAAATCATCTCCATAATTAAAGTTCAACTTCTTTTTCTTTTCTGTGTTTCCAACCATTTTTTTTGCTAGAAAAATCACACACACCTGGAGTCTGCGGGCAAGAATTATTCACACGGAAATCACCCTGCATTTCTTCAGTGTTTTTCAATAGCAAAATCTGCTCTATCCCCCTTTTAAGGAAAGTCACCTTGCAGGGATGTGGAAATGATAAAAGCGATGGGAATCCAATCAGGGATTGGCATCGCGCTGAGGCCCTGTAAAACAATACCGCTGAACAGCTACACAATTTGGCTACTTTTTGTTTTCCAGATTTGCATTTGAGCTGTAAAAGCAGCCAAACCAGGCAATGTCCAGCTCCTTTCAGATCTTAACTAAGCAAAACTTTGAGACACTAAACAGGCCTCCCCAAATCCTTTGGGAATAACACATATATTGTCACTTCGTTTACAAATATACAATACAAATACAATATTATGATGTCAAACTTAACTGTATTGCCTATTAATAAGTAAGTTCTTAATAAATTGTTAATTATTAATATTAATAGAGCAATAAATATTGGCATACCACCTATAACTGAGGTTACACTCACAGGCTTATCTCTTAAAATAGCCAAAGAGAAGCCAAGAAAGAACGGAGGAACTGCAACATCTAGCTAGACTTTGGCTTAATAAACCCTCACTCTCCATCACCCACCAGCTCCTAACCCTGATCAAAGAAATGGGTCCTTTTTCTGCCGATGGGGACTATTAGACAGGATCGGCTACATAATTTGTGAGCCCTAGTACAGAATGAAAATGCGAAGCCCCTTGTTCAAAAATCACTAAGAATTTCAACAGCGACAGCAAAGCATGAAAACCAAATACAAGTTGCATGCCCACGAAGCCGGCTCGACCAACAGATAATGTATTTGGCTAATAAGCTAGTAAGAAAAGGAAAGCATTTCGCTTCTGAATGAGTAGCAATCATTTTCATGTGTGTGTTTGGGGTGGAGCTGGGACTGTAAAGTCTTAGGACCTCTCCTCCCAGTCTCTCACTTTGCCTTAGGTTTTCAGCCTGTTGGACAGAAAGTACTTCTGCAGTGTCTACCATACAAAATGTGGTCCATGGAGCCGCAGCATCAGCATCACGTGGGGGCTTGTTAGAAACGCAGACTGTCGGGCCCCACCCCAGACCTACTGAATCAGAATCTGCATTTTACCAAGATTCCCAGGGCATTCGTGTGGAGAGTACAAACTAAGAGCTGTCACTATCCAGGCAGCCACGGAAAACCTGTGCCGCCTGCCTCATCTGACTGTGGCAAAGCCCGTCGGCTCGCCTCCTCACCTTATACATAGTTCCGGAGCCTCGAAAGGGCAAGTCCCAGTCAGAAAGCTCTCACCCGAGACCTCCAGCCTCCTCCTTCCCCCCCATGCCCACCCCCAGGCTTCGAGCTGCCGCTCCATCCCGCCGCGCCCCCCGCCACCTGTTCTGGGTCGCGCCAGACAGCGCCGCGCCGAGCCGAGCCGTCGGGGGCCCGGGGCGCGTTCGCGCTCCGCCAGCTCCGCCGCACCCCCCGCCCGGAGCGGTAAACTGAGTCCCCCAAGGGTCTGGTCTCGAAGACCGCCCGCGCTAACAAGATTCATGGGTCCGTTTCCCGGAGGGGCGGGGAGAGTTTGAGTCCGTTTGAAGCTTTAAGATACACACGCCGTCACCCCCCCACCCCTCGGAGAACGCGTCGCCGGAGCCCCCTGTCCCGTGGCGCGCACTCTCCCACTGCCGGGGTGCCGGCCCCCGGAGCTCGGCCCCTCTGCCTCTGCCTTTCAGGGCGGCCCCGGGCTCCGACTCAAAGCCGCAGCCGGGCGGAGGGAGCGTTCGCCCCGCTGTCCCGTCGCCCTCCAGGTCCAGGCGCTCCGCCCGAGCCGCCCGCGCCCGTCGTCAGCTCCCGGGCTGGGTCTCAGGAGCCCGAGAGAACAGACTCATCCCTGCGCCGCGCGCTTACCTGCCTATCCCGGCAGACGGGCTGGCTGCTGGCGCCCTCCGGCCCTCCTTCTCCCCTCTCCCTCCGGCCGCGTCCCTCCCCCTTCCCGCGGGCTGGGCGCCGCCCCCGCCGCTCCGGGACCGCTCGCCCGCCTGCTCTCCAGCTGCCCAGCGCGGCGTGGCGCGTCCGGCGCTCGGCGGCGGCTCGGCTGGGCGCGGAGGCTGGACGCGGAGGTGGGGAGCGGGCGGGGCGCCGAGGGAGGAGGGCGGGAGCGAGTGGTGCGGCCGGCCGAAGCCCGGCGGGGAGCTCCGGGCAGGGGGGCGGGGAGAGAATCGCGGCCCGCGGGCTGGGCAGCCCACCCCACCCCTGCAGAGGCCCCCGCGGGGCCTCTGGACTGCCTGGACCGCGCGACCCTCGGATGCCGGGCGCCTCCTCCGGCGCGCTCCTTGGAGACCCCCAACCTCCAAACCCATCCTCTCACCTTTAGGGGTCGCCCTGGTACCCAAATGCCTGTTTCACGGTTTTCAGCACCGTGCACTGTGATGAGTGGGAACCCCGAGGTCGCCCCCTCTGCCACAGTATTCTCAATGCAGAGATCATATGTCAGACCACTGGAGGGGGATTTGGAGAGACCGAAGGAAGAAAATGTTCTGGGAAAGGTTTTAGCTCCACGGTTATTTGGTGAAGAACAGGTTACACCGGATACCTAAAAACTGGGATCCCCAGCACTCTGCTTGCTGAGTGTGTGTGTTGGGGAATGGGGGGGAATATATGGAGTGAGTTGTCTCTGGTCCCTTCTGTCTTATCTGTTAGCATCTCCTCCCCGTGCACGTTCACAAAATAAGAACTAGATCTGGAAAGGACTTACAGATCACCTAACCAGCTTGTCAAAATACCCCATGTTACAGATGGGAAAATGGAGGCCTGGGGGCCTTGACCCGGTTCTACAATTCTAATTACTTGTAGAGACGAGGGGGGAAAAATAAGCACTCTGAATTCCCTCTCTGGCTCTTTTTACTGCTGCCCATCTATTCTCTTCAACCCTACCTTTTATAGTCAAATAGCTTCTATATTTGCAAAATGCTTTATGACTTTAAAGGCGCCATTCTCTTTTGTTAAAACCTGCAGGAGAATATTCCATTGTTCTTTACCACCAAAACAGGATTCTAGATTCTGAATTGCATTCACAGCTCTGGAGAAGGTGTTTATAAAATGCAGGTCTGTAGAGCACATCCTGGCTGACTCTGCCCTATTAGACACAACCCTGGGGGTAAGATGTACTCAGCTTTGCAGGAGGGGTTGAATTTGTTTTGCAAACGCCAACTTATTAACACTCACAACATTCTAGCTGGATAAATGAATGAAAAGTGTTTTCAGAGAGACTTTTGACTGGCTGGATTAAGGGAGAGTGGAGGTCAGGAAGTTCATCCAGGCTACATAAGTTGGAGGCAGAATTATGATAAGGGGGAAAACAGTATATTTTAATAAACAGGTTTAATGATACTCCAAAGGATTAAATTGTTTCTGTTTGCATTAACTTAACACTTGTGTATCTTCAACTTACTAGAAAGTAGACTTCATATTGTATAGAGCCACCAAAAATCTCACACCCTGCTATTTGGCAGAATCTATTGAAACTGAGCGTACAACTACCCCACGTCCGGCAATTGCCCTTCTAGGTGTATACCCAACAGAAAGGAGTGCATATGTTTACCAAAGGGTATGAACGAGAGTGTTCATAGCAGTGTCTTTCTAATAGCCCTAGACTGAAAGCTACTCAAATGTCCATGGGCACTAGAATGGATTGAAAACATTGCGGTGGTATAGTCACAAAATGGAATACCAAACAGCGAGGAGAAAGCATGAAATCAGACGTGAAAGCATACATACAATGTGATTCCCTTTATGCAAAGTGTAAAACAGGCAAAACCAACATTCAGGTTAGTGGTCGTTGCAAAGTTGGTGACTGGAGGGAGTTACAAGGGGGATAAGAAGGTGATGTCTTGGGCGCCTGGGTGGCTCAGTTGGTTGGGCGACTGCCTTCGGCTCAGGTCATGATCCTGGAGTCCCGGGATGGAGTCCCGCATCGGGCTCCCTGCTCAGCAGGGGGTCTGCTCCTCCCTCTGACCCTCTTCCCTCTCGTGCTCTCTGTCTCTCATTCTCTCTCTCAAATAAATAAATAAAATCTTTAAAAAAAAAAAAAAAAGAAGGTGATGTCTTGTTTCGTTATCTGGGTGCTACTTACATGGATGTATTAGGTTTGTGAAAATTCATTGAGCTGCTCACCTATGATATGTGCACTTTCCCTATGCATGTTTTACTTCAAGAAAGGAGTTAAAGTCTGTATACCTCATATTAAAAGTTGCTTGAATTCCTAAAGTAAGTGTGATGCCAGAATAAATATGCTTTTCCTTTAAACAAACTTGCTGTTAAAAAAAAAAAAAAAGACACTCGGGGCGCCTGGGTGGCTCAGTTGTTAAGCGTCTGCCTTCAGCTTAGGTCATGATCCCAGGGTTCTGGGATCAAGCCCCGCATCGGGCTCCCTGCTCCGCGGGAAGCCTGCTTCTCCCTCTCCCACTCCCCCTGCTTGTGTTCCTGCTCTTACTGTCTCTCTCTGTCAAATAAATAAATAAATAAATAAATAAATAAAATCTTAAAAAAAAAAGACACTCGAAAGAAATATGTCTAAAACACAAAAATGAAAAAAATAAATAAATAAAACACAAAAATTAGAGACTCCTTTGCCTATAATTAAATTTCAGATTTTGATGCACTTCCAGCCAAACTTCCATTCCCCTTGGCACATACAGTCAGGTCAACATAACTCTGCCATCCTGACCAAAGGAAGAGGAAAGAGGCTGGGACCAAAGAGGTGGCCAGCACTCCAGCCAAGGGGCCCTCTGCCTTTTCCGTGAGAGGGGCCCTGGTCACACACCTCCACAGGCACAGTCTAGTGATATGGAGGAAGGCTCTGGTGCTCGTGATCTGCAGTTCAATCTTAAATCTACAGGAGCACAGCCCAGAGACTGCTGTCCCAGCAACTGGAGAGTGGGCGATTTAGATCTTGCCCCACAGGGTATGTGAGCCAGTGGGGATAGAGTTTGATCCCCAGCATCAGTCGGTGAGGAAACATGGCAGAGACTTGAGTAAGCAGGCAGAAGGCCTTGTTCTCCTCACCCCCTCCCTCTGGTGGATCCCTGAGTGTGGGCTCTCAGCAGAGGGAGGTGGCAGAAAAGGACACCTCACCAGTGCCCAAGGCCCAGCTCTCTCCTTAGAATTTCAAATGCAACTTTACCTGGGACCAAATAGTCTGCAAAGATACCACGCAATGGTCTCTAACAGATTTATTATTTTCCAAGGGAAATGAGCACAAGAAAACATGGGACTTGGGAGTAAGTCAAGATGGTGGGATGAGAAACCATAATGACGATGGTGGCCCTGATGGTGATGAACATTATACTTGCTACATGCCAGGCGTGTTAGGGTTCTTCCCTAGTTTATACTTTGGTACCAAATCTACATGGCAACCCACTGAGGATTGTCCAGCTGAGGAAACTGAGGCACAGAGAGATTGAGTAGCCTGTCCCAAGATCCACAGGTAGCAAGTGGTAGAGCCAGGAGTGGAATCAGTCAGAGTGTGACCCTTTTTTTTTTTTTTAAAGATTTTATTTATTTATTTGACAGAGAGAGAGCGACAGCAGGAACATAAGCAGGGGGAGTGGGAGAGGGAGAAGCAGGCTTCCCACTGAGCGGGGAGCCCGATGCGGGGCTCGATCCCAGGACCCTGGGATCATGACCTGAGCCGAAGGCAGACGCTTAACGACTGAGCTACCCAGGCGCCCCCAGAGTGTGACTCTTAAGCTGTCTGAAGGCCCGGTATGAAAGGTACAATGTTGGGGTGGCAAAGCACTAGATAGAGAGTCAGGAAATGAGACTACACTGAGTCTGGGTCTCAGTTTCCCCATTTGTAAAATACATAGAGGGTGACAAGATCAATCTAAACTCTAGTGGTAGTATCAAGGGTTGCTTTGGGGTATTTTGGGTCCCTCATAATCCCATCAATATTCGAATACCCCAAATAAGAGGCATCTAACAAAACCAATGTACTATACGAGCAGAACATGAGAAGTTCCCTAGCCAACATGGCCCCCACTTCCCACACAATTATCACCTGATTACCAGGACTGAATTTCTCCTTTCTAGTAAATCTAGAGCGACCACTGCTCAGAAGTCCTTTCTGGCTTAAGTCATTCATCCATTCAACAACAAACATTTATCTTATGCCTACAGTATCAGCAAGGATAGCCTAGGTTATGTTGCAGTAACAAACAACTCAAAATCTCTATCGTTCACACAACAAAGGTTTATGTCTTACTCATGCTATGCGTGCATTATAAATTAGGGAGAGCTCTACTTACCACAGTCACTCAGGGACCCAGGCCGACGGAGTAGCCACCTTCTCAAATGTTGCTGGTTGCTCAGCTAGAAGGAAAAGAGAGCTCTGGACCACAAGCATTTAAATGCTTCAGCCCAGACTTGATGTGCAACGCTTCTGCTCCCAACTCATCCGTTGGAACTGTTCTCAGAGTTGCCCCCAGGCACAGAAGGCCAGGCAATGTAGTCCTATAAGGACCCAGGAAGTGAAGAGGTAGAAATACTACCATACCTACTATGGCTGACCCCTGGGCAGATGAAGATGAGCAAGAGGTGATCCCAGCCCCCTAGGCACTCACAATCAAACCAGAGAAGCCTCTGGCCACACCATTCCATCCCCTGCGGTGTAGGCTTTGGTGGATCTAGGTGAAAAACCAATCACTGCCGATGTGAGTGATGTCACCATGTGATACAGCAAAATTTTTCTCTAGAACATTGCGTTAGTTGTAATGATGGTGAACTGATTGCACAATGCAAGAGATAAATAAATCACACATTCTCGTGGAAGGCAAAAGGCTCTCTCCTGTGAAAATACTGAATGAAGACAGTTGGACATGTTGTCATTCTGTTCAATGAAAGTTACAAATAGCAGTTTAATGAAAAATGAAACCAGACTTTGGCCTCTAGCAAGATGAGGATGGTGGGACCAGCCCTTTCTGAGAATGTGTCCCAACTTGGGAAGAGCTGAGCATGGCCTCA